CGAACGTTTCACGTGTTCAACAATATTTTCTCTCGGCAGTTCAATTACACATTGTTCCGTCACGTTGAGACAGCCTTATATATACAAGACTAACACATATCTAGTAAACGCTAGAGCATTCATGAAGGAACAGGATATCTCTAGAAGGATGTCACGTGACCTCGCTGACGCAACACCATTAAGGTTATTCCCATCAAAATTATACTTATAATTCAGATTATGATAACCCATTTGCATTTATTTGCCCAACTCATTGAAAGATATAAATCCTTTTGTAAATCAGCAGCATCCTCTTCACATCTAGCAACACCCAAGACTTTAATATCATCTGCAAAATTAAGTAATTTATTGACCATTCCTTCATCTTCATCATCTTTGACTGAACTCCATTTATAACAACTCTCTGCTTTCTTCCAACTAGCCACTCTTCTATCCAATTTGCTAATTTATCCCCCATGCCTACAGATATAATTTTTACAAGCCTTTTATGAGGTACCTTGTCAAATGCTTTATGAAGGTCCAGATACACCAAATATACATTATTACCCTCGTCTACATAAGCAGTAACCTTTTCAAAGAATGTCAAAAGATTTGTAAGGCAGGATTTTCCCTTAGTAAAACTATGTTGACTATCCAATAAAATTCTAAACTTTGTTAAATGTTTTTGCAAAGCATCTTTTATCAGACTTTCAGAAACTTTTCTCACAAGTGATGTAATAGATCTATAATTACTGGGACAAGTTTTATCACCTCCCTTGAAAAGAGGAGTTACATTTAGCTAACTTTCAATCCTATGGTACCTGTCCACTATTCAAGGAGTGATAAAAAGTAGTAGCAATGGCTCACATATCCAATCTTTAGCCTCCTTCAAAACCGTTGGGGAAATATTATCTGGCCCAGGAGTTTCATGATTCTTTAAACTTCCCAATTTTTTCTTAACCAGCTCAGAATTAATACAATAATCTTGTTCGATCTAGTTTCCATCTATCAACTGTTCAAATTGGGGAATAATGCTTAAATCTTCGTTAGTAAAAACAAAAGAAAAAGTAAAATTTAATAACCCAGCCATCTCATAATCATTAGGTGCAAGCCTTCATTTATCATCTCTCCTTCCACCATCCTAACATTTTGTTTACCCTTAATGTATTTAAAGTAATCCTTACTGTTAATTTTTACATTTTCATCCAACCTTTTCTCATACATCCTTTTTGATGTCCTAATTTCCCGTTTCATCAACTTTCTTGATCTTTTATAATCTTCTGAATCTCCTGTCAGAGCAGTCAATTTAAATTTTTTAAATTTCTTATGATTTTCTGGAATTTTATCTCATGCACTCTTTGTGAGCTCACTGGGAGGGTGTGTGTATGTTTTCTTATAGCAAAGCCCCCCAGCGGACTTACAACGCTAGAATCCGGATTTCGATACTCGTGGTGGGTAGAGCACAGATAACTCATTGTGAAGCTTTTTGCTTAATTACAAACAAACAAAAACTTATAGCAAAGCCACATCGAGCTATCTGATTTTAGCGTTGTAAGTCCGAAGACTTTACCGCTGTCCCATCGGGGGACAGGGGCGGGTCTTTAGTGTTATGGTTGTTGTAGTACACATTCAGTATATGAATTCATATTTAGTTCAGAATGTTAATTTTGATGTACCTGAAGTTTAAGTCTGTAAGAGTAATATTTTCTTATTTAAACGTGGATATCATTTCTCGTGTAAATATAATACTTTGAGGAATGTCTTTATAGTATTATCATTTCATTTTAGCAATTGCACAATATAAATATATACAAGTGGTCCCTAATAAAATCCCACATCTGACGTTTAGCACGTCTTCACCCTCACTTTGGAAAACATCTGTTGTGTTTAATAGTCTAAAGCATGATAATTGTTAGTGTTAGGTATTACTGCGTTAGGCCTAAGTATATATATTTAACTTTAAGTAAATTATTCAGTTCTTGTAAGTTTCATGAATTTGTTTGAGTATTCAGTAGCATTTATAAACTTTAATATTTTTGTTATAAAGCTGCTTTAAAAAGTTTTATAAAAATAGATACAATCAAAATTTATTTTCTAGTTTCTTCCCCACTATTTTTATTCATTTTGAAAGTGGTTTCTCGGATCTTATTATAATTTATTAACATAAAGTGATAACTTGATAATACTAACACCAACAGTAACAGCTGTAGTGTAGGCATACTAATTAGGTCTATTTCCACCCCAGTAGTTATTTTTGGTCATAAATTCAAACTGTTTAGACAAGTATATTGAATTTGTTGTGTGGAATTTCGATAAGAAATATGAACCTTCAAAATCTTTTTCAAGATTTTAATCCAAGGTAAGCTGTACATTACAATTTGCAGTTAAATATGGTAGCATTGCTAACTTCTTTCACATATCATATAATGTATTATATATAGAATTATCTAAAATCATTCACAAGTAATATAAGCTAGTGTTCAAATATTTCAGTTTTAGTTGTAAGTTGCTTAATGTATAATGCTTAGAGTATAACTTAAATGAACAAACAGAAAACGTTTTTTTTAATCAAAAACTGATAATTTTTGTTATATATGATACAGAAGAATAATTGTATCTTGTTGTTGTAGTGCACTTCATTGCACCTGTTCTGTGTTACTGTTAGCATTATAATAGATGTACCAGTACTTGAGAACTAATGTGCTGTAATAACAATTGCAATACTGTTGTGGCCAAACAATATTGTTATGGTACTCAACTTGATGGTTTGATGCATCTAAACATTTTACATGCAGGTATATCAAATTATGAATGTAGGTTTTACCTTTATAGTTTTTCATGTGTATCAGTTTATAACAGTAGTGCTTGTTTGTCTGTTATATAGAATTAGTTTCAGTGCTTTGCAAGCTACATTTTAATTCTAATATACATAGCTGTTACAATTTATGATTAGTTACTTATAATTAATAAGTGATTTGTTTGTAAAAAATTTAAATATGTATTTCACAAACAAATGTATATATCTAACCTATATAAAACTCAAAGCCAGTGTGTGTCTCATCACGTCATACTTCATTTCTCAAAATAGGAGGAGTTCTAAAACCCAAAATACATTTATCCAGATAGAATAGTTTGATTACTGTTTGCCCATTACGACTGTAGTGATGGGGATGCAAAAGGGGCCATGGGGGAGTGGGTGCTGTGAAACCTTAAAGGTAGTGAGTGTTGGTAGAATAAGCCTAAGGTAAAGACGTAGTGTGGGATAACTTAACCTAGAGCCAAGTGCATAAAATGAAAGTAAAAAGCTCGATCCAATTTTAAACTTAAATCGTTTCTGAATTAAGCAATTTTCTGTTATATCACCAATGTTTTTAATAATAAAAAAAACTCTTTAATCAATGGAGATTAAGATATCAGTAAATATTTTTCCAGTTTTGTTTATACATTTCATTTTATACTTTCAGTACACAGACTAACAACAATATTAGGTTATACTTTTATTGCTAAGCTACATGACATAAAACCCATTGTTGGAACATAGTGTCACCAAAATGCACTGAATTTTCTATATGCTAGAATTTGTTAATCTAAGTGGTTTTACCAATAATTATTCTATGAATACACCATGAATTATTTTCATGAATTATCTTAATTTTGATTGGCTGATAAAGGAAGTTACCAACATTTGACTACCTTGACTGCACTTTTCAGCCTCTTTGTTGATCAAGCTTGATTTTACAAAATTTAAATATTTCATTTAGCTATGAAATGTGAGGTTAGGGTATACTATGGGGTGAGGATGGTAGTACTTGTCCCATCATATTTGACAGGCTATATGCTAGTAATTTAAATAATTATCAGCATGTAGTTTCAGATACTGCACATTACTGTATAAATATCTATCATGTCAGAGCCTCGTAAAAATGTGTATATCATTCGTAAATGGATAATGACTCAATATGTGATTTTGGATAGTTTTGGGAAATTTAGAAAATTAAATTGCTTTTAATTCATGGCAAAAGTTAACAGAAGGATAAAACCTAATTGCTTACTAAAGATATAAAGAGAAATTTGAGGATGAATATCATAAGTTTAAGAAGTTTAAATTGACAGATCAATTGGAAGAGTTACAGAAAGTGTAGGAAAGTTAGGAATCTTGTTAAAAAGAGAAATTAGAAAATCCAAAATGGTTTATGGAAACAGCTAACTGATAATGTTAAAACTAATGGGATGAGTTATTATTTTTTTTATTTTACATATCTTAAGGGTGAGCAAAAAGTTTTCGTTGAAGAATATGTGAAGATTGAGTTTTAAATGTTTTCTACTCTTCTGCTTTAATAAGAAAAGATATTGCAAACTAAGGCTTGTGGCTTACAGGTCTTGAAGTAAAAGCTACTTTCCACCTTACCTAGAGTATCTATGACACTCATGCTTCCACCAATCTCATTCTGGCCACCAAGTGCAACTATCCAGTCAGGAGTCCAGGGAGTGTTGAAAGTGAATTTTAAAGTGATTGAAAATTTAATCAAAACAATCACCTTACAAAGTTGGTGCCCAAATAATCAAGCTATTTTCGAAGCAAACCTGAGCATAGCCACTTTTTACCTTAATTTTAGATTTGTAACACAAGTTGTCCACATAGCACATACCATTAGGTTTTGTTTTTGTTGTGTAGCTTAAGAGCACTTAACTATCAAAACCAGGATTTTATGAAACTACTAGTATTTGTTGTATTGGATCAAGAACTTTGTTAAGTGAAGCAGTATAGACAAACATAGAATACTTGTAATCCTCATGCTAGGAAGTTACTAAAATGCTAGAAAAATCAACAGAAGAATATGCTCAAAGATGTTTAGATTGTGTTGAGCATTTGAAATCCAGTTAAAAGTATTGATTTTGCCTATAAAAGCAATGGAATCTGAACTCTGTGTTCTATAGCAGTTTTGCTATGTCTTCAGTGCAACAGAAGACTAGTTTTGGTGACCATTTGTTTGCTAATATGGTACTTAAAAACAATTTGAACATTCACTGATATAGGGCAAAACAAGCATGTTTTGTATGTTTCGGGAAAAAATGTGTATACAAAATAAATTGCCCATGTTGAGCCAGTTCATCTATTTTTTGATGCAATATGCAAAGCATTTAGATTAAAATAACTGTATGACTTTTGTATCCAAAGTAAAGGCAACCTAAGTATGAATTCAAAAAATGTTTAGTATAAATACATGAATTTAATTACTTTAATACAGTTACTGTTTTGTAATCAGTATTTTAAGATTTTTAAATTAAATGGTGCATATATATATATCAGATTTCAACTATACAACTTTAATGTATTGGTTGTGGCAGTGGATCAACTGTAGTTTAAAATACATACTATCAGGTTAATAGTATAGGATATGTTAGCATGGATGTAGTATGTATTTCTCAGCTTACATAGCAGAAATAACTAAAGTGTAAAAGTTATAAACTGCTCATCTTAACTTAACAAAATTGAAGGAAAATATGTGAAATTAAATAAGCTCAAGCCCTGGTGTGAGAACACTCAGATCACTTAGTTTTAGGTTAACTCTGTGGGTTCAAGTTACAGCAATAAAACCATAAAATGGAAAGAAAGCAGATGTGAAAAGGTTAGAAGTTCAAAGTGTTAAAATAATAAATTTGATTCTTTCTGATAAATACTGGAGTCAGTGCAAGAAAAAAAATTATATTATTCATTTTATTTCATATATTTAACTTTTCATATCACTGTACATTGGTGATTTCACTACAATTAGTGTTAGAGAAAATAAGAGATAAAAACATAAAGTTTTAAAAGGCAGAAATTTTTTTTTATGTTTGATTAGAAGGTTCTAGAGTATATGAAAATAAGATGAAAAGAAAAATATCTTAGTATGAAAATAACCTTTCACTCAGACTGACTAAGTAAGGGCTTTGGAAATTTACAACAAATATTTAGTAAAAATACTTTATTCATAAATCAGATTTTTTGTGTACAACCTGCTTGTAATGTTTACTGAAAGCTTACCAAATTCTGTCAGAATACACAAAGTAAATTGAATTGAATACAATTAATTGAAAGTTTGAATAATTGATACCATTAATAATAGGAAACACTAAATTAAGTTAATTATTTTTATGATATTAATCGATACTCATAGGTAACTAATTAATTGAGATCATTGTCCAACACTTCCTGGTAATATGCTTTTTGAAAAAAAATACAAATTTTAATCTACATCATAATTATATAGATCTTTGTGTTTCCAACATTTATTACTTTTCTCAACATTTTAACAAAAGAAATGTATTTTATTAGGGAACAGAGACAATGTTTGGGCAATTCAGTTCTATTTACTTGTACATTTTTCAATTTCTTGTGTAAATGATCTGTTCTAAACCTTACCATAAGTTCACCATCAAACAAAGGCCCTTTTTTGGCTGTATAGTTTAATGGTTTCTTTTAGTATCTGGCATTTTTATGTATTATGATTATTATTGGAAACTAAAGGACTTCATTCTTTAAATTTTTGCTTGTGCTGAAACAAGAAAAATATTAAGTGAAACTGTTGAAATTAGGGATATTTGATTTCACCAATTCCACTATTTGCACATTGTTACTTAGATTTGTTGTATGTGCAAAGGTACACAATGGTCTATCTGTGTTCTGAAAACTACAGGTTTCAAAACCTGAATTTTAGTGTTATGAGGTCTGACTTTCTGCCGAACAACCAAGGACATTATTCATGGTCACCTACAACTATTGGTCACATCATGGTGAAAAGTGTACTATCGAAATAGCACATCATCAATTCTTAGTTTCAAAGTGACAGGATCCACCCACCCCCACTAATTTCTCCAGTTAGCTCTATTATAGTTAAGTTTAATTTTATGCAAAATTATTCAAATTAAGAAATATTAAGTTTCAGTGGGAATTATTTTAACAAAACTTGTAGTAATTTTGTGACTGCATGTTTATGTTTATATGTAACAAAGAATACATATATTAATTAGTACAAAGAAACCTTAATAAGGTCTAAAGTTACCCTTTATTCATTAATGCAATCATTTGAAAGTATTTCTGTATTTGATTCCAAAACTGTGCATTAAAGGATCGTGTTACTAATAAACCTTTTGTTAGACATGTCTTGCAGTTATAACAGGTAATAACAAATCTTTTCTCAACATCTAAATACCAATAGTTAATTTTTAAGTAACAGTTTCTATTACTTCTTTTCTTTTATGAAACATAATATTTTTCCATTTTCAGTAAGTTCATTGTGTACTTGTGTCTACTGGTGTTCACTTTGATGTTTGCATTGCGCTTAGACGGTACCATACAGTGGAATTATTGGGCAATTTTTTTACCTCTTTGGATCTGGAAGGGATTGGTCATTGCAGGAGCCAGTATGGGAAGCTATGTATGGTGGAGACACCCTCAATACAGGTAGATTAAAGAAGAAATCTATGCTGTTTTTGTCTCTGTTAAAGACTCACACTTGACATAAGATAGACTTTGGAAACTAATTTTTGCCCAATTTTATGGAACCTTGATTTTAGTTATTTTATTCAAATTGTATGAAACCCTGATTTTAGTTATTATACCTCACTTTTATGAAACCTTGATTTTTACCTATTTTACCCCAATTATATGAAGCCTTGATTTTAGTTATTTTGTCCCATATTTCTGAAACCTTGATTCCAGTTATTTTACCCTACTTCTATGAAACCTTGATTTAAATATTAACAAAATTCCATGCGATGTTATAACCAAATATGTCACAAGTAAATAAAACAACTTGCACATTTTAAAAATTAACATGAAAAATAAAATTAAAAGTATAAAAAAATGATGGATGGGCCTTGAGTTTACTCATGTTTCGTGCAGAGCATTTTTCTGTGCCATTCATTAAAAAGTTGCATTCGAAAGGAGTCAGACATATTTTATTTTGTTCCAGACGGTTATTTTTCTGATTTTTTTTGTTACAATACCCATATTTTTATAAATACCTTCTTGCAGAAAATGTAACGTGTTGGGTGAAGATGAGATAATTAGTCAGATCTTCTAAGTGAAGGTGAAGATTCTGATGTGGATGTGTTTGAGGATCATTCTGACAGTGACTCTAGCTACAGCGACGTTGTTAGACCTACAAAGATATGTAAAGTTGTTGTGTTCTCAACTGATTCTAAATCAGAAAGTGATGATAATTCTACAGATGTTCCTGTTAGTGATTTGTTTTCCCATTGTGATAATGATAATTGGTCAGAAATAGATATTCCACCGAACTTGAAAATGTTTGAAGAAAATTCAGGGGTCACTATAACTCCATTCGAACCCAAAAGTATTGCAGCCGTGACAAGTCTAATGTTTGGTGATGACTTGTTTGAAATGTTTTGTCAGGAAATGTGTACCTAATATAATCAAACTACAGAGAAACATAAAATGTCATGTAAAGACTTCAATGGTCTGAAGTTGCACCTCCAGATATGAGGAAATTCCTAAGCCTTATTCTACTAATGGGACAGACAAGGAAATATAACTGGAAAGATTATTGGCTAACTGATCTTCTTTTGATTAGCCCAATATTTTTGCAGACAATGAGCCAAAAGAGATTTCAACAAATTTGGACATTTTGGTATTTCAATGATAATCAGAAAATGGATGAGTCTTCAGGCAGGCTCTTCAAAATTCAACCTGTACTGGATTATTTCCTCAATAAATTCAGGACACTATACAAACCAAAACAACAGTTGTTATTGGATGAGGGCTGGATTCCATAGATAGCACGTCTAAAATTACGAACTTATAACCCTATAAAAATGGTAAAATATGGCCTGCTGGTAAGAATGGTATGTGAGAGTGACACAGGTTATATTTGCAACATGAAGATTTATACTGGTAAGGGGAAAAGTTGGAGGAGACTATTCTTTCAGTTCTTGCTCCCAATCTTGGATTGTGGCACCATGTATACCAGGACAATTATTACAACAGTACTTCCATTGCAAACCTGTTCCTAGAACATAAAACAAGAGTCTGCGGAACAATCAGAATGAATAGAGGGTTGCTGCCAAGCGTGAAGGCTGAAGATTCAACAATGAAAAAAGGCGATGTTCTCATTTTCATATGGAAAGACAAGAGAGAAGTGAGAATGGTTTCAACCATCCATAACTCATCTGTTTCTACCACAGGAAAGAAAGATGGAATAACTGGAGAAGAAATGAAAAAATGTGTGTGTTCTCCAATACAACGCCCACATGAAAGGTGTTGATTGTGCAAATCAGTATCTCTCATACTACACCGTTCTCAGAAAAAAGAGTGAAATGGAGAGAAAAGGTAGTACTTTATGTAATTAATTTTGGCCTTTTCAATTCATGTATAATCTACAAAGCCCTGAATGAACAGAAAAAAATAAAATATAAGCAGTTCCTCCTCTCTGTGGCAAGAAAATGGATTACTGAAAAAGAGAAAGAAGGCTTACTGGAATTAGAGAGGAACAAACCAGGTCCATCGTCTGGTGACATGAAGCAACATATTCCTATGTTCATTTCATCCACAGGAAAAAAGAAATATCCTACCAGAGCCTACAGAGATGGTAATGCCCATGGGAAAAGAAGTGAAATGCGATACATATGCAAGTTTTGTGTGGTTCCACTTCATATAGGAAAATGTTTTACAAGATACCATACTTTAAAAACTTACTAGATGTCTTCATGTACATACTCTGTAAGTTTCAAATAAATAATAAAAAATATAGTTGAACTATGAAGAAAATAAAATGTGTTTGACTCCATTTCAAACTCATCATTTTAATAAATGACGCACAAGAATGCTTTGAACGGAACCCAAGTAAACTCGTAACCTGTCCGCAATGTGTTAAGAAGTGAAATTTGAGTTTTCTCAGCATCCTGTATGGGTAATCAATTTTTTGGTGTTAGTAAAATTTTTCTATGTTAAATTGATTCAGTTTGATTTTACTTCAAGGTGAATAAGCTTTAAACTACAATGTGTTTCTTTACCCTTTGAAATCATGTTGGTTCAATGTCTGTATTACAGTACATTTTTAATATCTTCTATAATCTATAAAACCAGGAGGCTCTTAATTTATTTTTTCAAATTTTAAGCATTAAATGGCATTTAATGAATTGATCATGTATGTGAATTGAAAATAGAATTTTCTATAAATGAGACTATTCTCAAAATCCTGATTCCAAATGTTGCATATTATTTTATGTGTTGTTTCATTTGCAGAGTTTTTATAGTTTTTTTTTTCATGCTAAATATTAAATTTGAAACTACATTAACATACAAATAAAAAAAAAAGGAGAAGAAGAAGAAGAAAACCTATATGTAGAATTAATGAATCAAATATAAGGGCAAGGTGTCAGGAGGTCACTTGGCTCATTTAGATTTCTCTGATTCATCAGAGAAAGCAAGGAAAGGGTGGTATATATTAATAAATATTACAGGTATTCAGTGAAATCTTCATGTAGATTATTAGCATACATCATCTCGGATAAACCATTCCTTAGCTTAAGAAGTAAGTTTTCAAAGCTTGTACTCATTACCATTGACGTGTAGTTGCCTTCACTCACTTTACATTTACCAATTTAGAAATAGAAAAAACTTTTGATAATTTGCCTGTTGAAGAAAAAGAAAAAAGTGTTAAGATCTGAACTGTTTAATTTTGAATTATTTTACATGTTAGTAATATAACTGTCTCTTATATACTAATTATTTTGAGACAATGATAAGTGAAGGCTTTTCACGCACCTCTTCCAATGGATAACTATCGTTGTAATGAGAGAGAATTGAACACAACTTCAAATGAAGGTAGTGTTATAGAAAGTGACAATGTTCTCTGCATTTGCCACAGATAGTACAAACGTTTTTGGATAATGTAGGTCACCTTCTCTGCTCCTAACAACAAAATTATTTTCATACAAGTTAAGTCCTAACTACATTTCACTAAATTCATGGTTTTCTCAATTTTTAAACACATTTTCTACATATTCGTTTACTTTATTTTCTTTGATATCAGCATTTCCCAGCACTTTTAGGTCATTACAAATTTTAATAATTTGCAGGTGATTAAGATTTCAGTATAATCTCTTTAAATAATGTATAACAAAAGTTCTAGAAGTAATCTTTGAGAATTCCCCTGGCCTCATGCGTTCACCGGAAAACTATTCACTTGTTATTGTTTTGTTTTCTGCCTCTTAGCCAATTCTGAAATAAGTTTTTAGTTTTTTCACCATGCTATAACTAAGTAGTTTTGTTTTTGTACAATTTCAACAATAAGAAGCTTTTATCCAAAATAGCAAAAGCCTTATCGCTTATCTAATAACTCAAGCAAGTTGGTGGGACAGGAAAAAACAAGTCCTGCCGCTATTTATTAGGTTGAAATTGTTTTTTTGTTTTTTTATAATCTAACTATAGATACCAACACTTTATCAATGTCAGAAACCAGTCTGGTAATCCTTCAATTTCTTAGCCTCTTAACTCTCATCTGTTCAGAAATGTTTGTGAAATAGTTAATAAAGATATCAACAACTCCTAATTTTATTTTGTTAAAAGTTTTAAGATAAACCTTATAAGAACCAATAGCTTTACAATCTTGAATTTGTTTTTTAAATGCCAATTTTCTTTATTTTAATTAAATTAATACAATCATTATGTGATTTCAGAACAACATATTTTTAAAAGCTTCAGTGCATTGTTTAGTTTATATTGTTGTGATATCTTCTCTTCCTGCTGTCAGTTGTTACACAGTTTCCATGTTTTTATTCTGAAGAATATTTAGTTAGTCTGATAACTTTCTCTCCTATTTAATAATATGTAAAAGAACTTTATTTCCATTTTTGACAGTAAAATCACATGAAAAAGGTTTTAGAAATTAACAGATATATATATTTCTGAGCTCTGAGATAGAGAAATTAGAAATACTTGTGGTTGTAAATTTTATTTTTTGTCTGGAGAAGTTATGTATTGTTTTAGTATCATTAGAATAGTTATTTTGGTGTATTTTTTAGTTAGATTGGTTAGGATTGGATACTTTTAGGTTTTATTATTACTGTAGGTAGAGCTAAGCATTCAGTTATGACAATAGACTTAATACCACGTTTTTTTGAGGTAGCAGTGCTGAGGTGGTTGAATAATAAAATAAAGAACTGTCACAAATATTAATGAAGTAAGAAGGAATACTTGTTCATTTTAAGAGTTGAAATTATTGTGTTTATTTGATAGTCACTGAGGGATTAATGTGTTATTACATTATTTAAACTTGCAATTAGATATGTGTAACTAAACATGGTATACGAATAAACTAGTAACAGTATTAGTGTTCGTTAATAGGGGATTTTAGTGTTAGATTAATCTAGCTGTGAAATACTGTATTTTTTGGAATATAAGACGCACCCTTATTTTGAAGACAAAGTTTTTGGGGGGAAAAAAGCTACAGTCGCATTTGAAAGATTTTTATTGAATAAAAATTCAATTTGATACTTTAAAAAATAGTATATATTGTTCTAAACACAAAAGAACTCAAAACATCAAAATAAGAAAATACCGTCAATCAAAAAAAGATTTACTGGTATTTAGTTTGGTTCAAAACCTACAGAATCTTCATTACTTTCACTGTAACTTATTTTTGTATTATTTAGGGAGCATTATAAATAGTTGTTTTTAAAAGAAAAAACTACTATTGTTATAAATAACACATTCAATTGAACTAAACTATGCATGCCTATTTAAATATATTTACACATGGCTTGTGTATATCGTATATATACATATATATTATTCATACCTTCGGTCACTTTTTTACCCCAAAATTTGATGTCAAAATCTGCTTGCGTCCTATACTGTCTTATACACCGAAAAACACGGTAACTAATTTTTAGCTCCCTTGATAAAATTCATCCTAATTTACAATACTATTTACATTCATAACCAATTGTAAAAATGTCACCCAATATCATATTTTACATAGCTCACTTACACATACAATGGGCATGAAAGCTAAAACATGAAAACTGCATGTAGGCCTACATACAACACTTTTTTTTCTACTTCAATAATGCTACCATTAGGTGACTGATACCAAATGAACAGAGTAAAATTTGGTGTTTTTAACTGCATTTTCATGAATATTCTTAAAAAAAATAAAGAATTGTTTCGAACTTTATTAGGTGAAGTATTCTATTAAAAAGTTTATATACAAGTTTTGTGCCTTGTACTGTTACAATGTTTGTAGGAATAATGAGAAATGTTAAGTAATGGATTTTCCTCCCCCCACAAACACTTATTTAACCCTCATTCCTAATAAAATGCTTCACATGCAATGTCTTTGTCAAATACTAAATCATTAAAAAGAAAGTTCCAGTTACACAATTCACCTGAATTATGGCATATTCTTACATAATATATGATGAAAAACATCAGATATGCAAATTACTATGTTTTAAATATCTATAGTATATTTCTATGTTTTATTGAAAAGTGACTTATAGCCCCTTTACTATAAGTTATTACAAAACAAGTTTAATTTTACTTATTTTTGTCTTATATGTTGTATTCATTATCCTACAAAAGACTGAATGTATCATTACACCTAAAATAAACTTTTATAAACATAGTTGCTTTATTTTACAAGTTCAACACTAGGCCACAAGAAAGTTTAAAAAATAATAAATATAGTGACACAGAAATGCTATATAAACTCAAGGTAATTTACTAACTGTATCTTTCTGAAATGCAGCCTATGTGTGAATATATAATTTCAGGGCTGTAAAAAGATTAGGATTTACATGACACTCCAGCATAAACAATTTTACCACTACACCACTGATGACAACTGAAAACATCTGTATTAGATACATGTCTCTAATGCAAATGATGGCTACCACAACAGGGCATTTTGGCCATGCAAAATGAACTTTTTTTCTATTTTAATTACATTTAATGTTTAATCCAATCTTTTTGTTAAGACATAATGTTTATAGACAATAATAAATAATGAATCATATAATTTGCAAAAATAATAAGCCAGGATTTGGCTGTAGTTAGGGCAGATTTTTGCAAACCAATATTAGTTTCACATGATAATAAATAATTAAATATATATTTTGCAAGAATAAGCTAAGAGTTGGGTGAACTCATAAATTGTAAGACTAAGACCAGTTATAATATATATCTTATATCAGGGATGGGGCACATTTGAGATTTAAAATAATGAAATAAAAACAGAAATGAACAAAGTATTCCCCATCACTTGCTTTCGACCTGTTAAAAGTAACAAGTCAAAATATTCCAAGAGTAAATCCACTAAAAGTAAAAATGAGCTAGGTGTGCTTTATTAATGTCTCACTATTCAGTGGTATTACTATCACTATAGTCAATCTGACAGTTAGGCTTAATCAATGTATAGACAAAACTTAAAATAGTTAGGTCTAATGAGCAAGATGGTTTTTAAATTTGAAATCTGTAACAAAATTAGCTTTTAAGAAGGTGATCATTATGGAACAGGCTTTATTATACTATTAAAACCTATATAATACCTGTAAAACTAAAAGCAATAATCTTAAAATTGTCGCAACTTTAATTACACTCCACATGATTCTAATACTTACTTAGCGCCCCCTATAGTTTCTGTTTTAAAACACTTAAAAAATATATATACATACACAATTTAAATTCAGCTTTATATTGAACCTTACTCGTTGCCTTTAACGTAAACTAACATATTTGAAAATCAGCAGTATTTTAGAAATATTTACCTTTCACGCACATAAACATAAAAGACAACACTCGGTTTGTCAGTCGCGTAAAATAATTAATAAAATATACACAACAAAACAAATTATTCTTTTAAATACAATGCAGGTGAATAAAAAGTTTTGCAAATAGAGTCAACATATTCAGAAATAGAATTAATAAGTTATAACAGCTTTCATCAATAAATTTATAAACATTTCAGTTATGATTTTATATGTTGAATAATCTCAACAGAAAAAGAAAATAGAATAGTAATTTAGATTCGAAGAATTTATCTTCTGTTGCATGTACTTAGCTATAAAGGTGTCACCATAAAATAACTAAAAAAAAAAAAAACAAGGGCGTTTTCACAGTGTATTCTGTTTTTAATATGACAACTAATTTAAAACTTCTCAGAGCCTTTAATAAACATTTACCCCCTCATCTCCAAATGATGTCAATCGTTTAAGTGGAATTCTCGGTAAGAGAAATGATTGTTTATTT